ACTTTTGATATTCCATGAAGCGAAATTGTCGAATGTTCGAAAAGAAAAGAAAACAAACTAATGTAACAAAGGAAATGAAACTAGATGCCTTAAAGAGACTGGAAAAGTAGAAATTGTAAACAAAATTACCATGTATTTGGATGCTAGACGGACTACTTTGATACGGTGGAAAACGAAGAGGTCCGAAATCGAGACTTGGTGTGTGAAAAGAGCATGTACGGGTAGTTTAAAGGAAAGAAAACGTATTTAAGGTGGATACGAAAAAGTGAGCGAGGCGCTTTATTTGTGGTTCAGGTAGCAAAGAGAACGCGGAACATCCATTTCAGGACCAATTTTACAAGAGAAAGTCCTAAACTTTTATGATGAATTTCAAGAAGGGAGAGCTTGGATTTACTGCTAGTGCTGGATGGCTCGACAGATGGAGAAAGCGGTACGGTATCAGGCAGTTAAACGTTTGTGGGGAAAAGCTATCTGCTAACTTAGAAAATGTTGCAATATTCAAGACTCATTTCCACAACTAATTGAAAAGGAGGGTACATCTGGATATCAAATTTATAATTGCAAGGAATTTCCAAATGTTACCTTCGAAAATGCTGGCATCCAAGGAAGAAAAAGCATCACTTGGCTACAAAAGAAGCAAGGAGAGAGTCAGAATCTTCGCATGCAGCAATGCAACAGGCAGCCATAAGCTCAACTAGCGCTAGGCAGATCTTGTAAACTAAGCAAATCAAAAAAAAAATCACTTAGCATTTAAAAACATAAAAAAGGTACACTAATGGGACCGAAACCAACTATGATCGTCCTGTTTGGTACAGTGATCAGTCAAACGCATGGATGAATGGAGCAATATTTAATGACTGGTTTCTTCAGCAGGTCGTTCCATCAGTGGACAAGTTTTTAAAATCAAAAAATCTACCAACGATGGCGATTCTCATTCTAGACAATGCCTCATCCCATCCTGATGCAGAACAGCTACGAGACGAGTATATAAGATATATAGTGTGTCAGTCGATGGACCAGGGCGTTTTGGAGACATTGAATAAAAAATACAGACGTAAACTTCTTTCATCTCTTGTTCTAGCCACGGAGGAAGGGTGTGATATGATCGAGAAACAGAAAAGAAAATAGATATGTTGGATGTTGTTGGATGGATAGCTCATTATTGGAGTGAAATCGAGCAGATTAGCCTCGTTCATTCCTGGAGAAAGTTGCTAGACCATTCAGAAACGAATTTCAGGAAAGCAGAGAAGAGATAGAAAATTGTGAAATACACTCATGACCATAAATTAAGGATAATGAAAAATCAGGTAAAGCAAGACTTAGAAACAAAACAAATTTGACTTATTTGTAAAGCTTATTTATTAAACAAAAGGTAAAGAGCAAAAAAAAGATGCTATGTGTTTGATATTATTAAAAAAAATAGCGATTTTTTCTCCCTGGAGCAAATTGCAGAAAAACCTATTTACAAAAAACCAATATTACATGGTTGGTATGATTGTTAATACATTGTATGTCTCCCAGACGATGCAATACAGTCCATACAACGCCTAGGCATGCTGAGTATCAAATTATCGATCTGATCTTGGGGGATATTACACCACTCAAAAAGCAATGCTCTCCGAAGTTCCGGTAGACATGTAGGAGGAGGTTGACGGGCTGCAACTCATCGGCCAAGCATATCCCACACGTTCTCTACTGGATTCAAGTCCGATGAGAATGCTGGCCAGTCCATACGAGTGATATCCTCTGATTGAAGGCATTCGCTTACGATGTTTGCACGTTGAGGACGGGCGTTGTCATCCATAAACACAAATTATGCGCCCATGGCGCCTCGAAACAAACGTACATGTTGTTCCAGAATGACGTCCCGATAGATTTGGCTTGTCATGGTTCCAATTTGAACATGCGATTAGTTCTGGAACCCAGAATAATTCCACCCCAAACAAGCACTCCTGCACCACCGTAATGGTGTCGTTCAATGATGTTGTCTTGGTGGTAACGGGTACCTGGAGCTCTCCATATGAAAGTCCGGCGAGAATCAGACTGCAAGCTAAACCTGGACTCGTCGGAAAACATCCCACAAGCCCACTGTTCCGGTGTCCACAATGCATGCTCTCTACTCCAAGCTAACCGCAGGCAACACTGAGTTGCAGTAAGTGGAACGCATCTGACAGGTCTACGAGCATATAGACCAATCTGCCCTAAGCGTCTGTACACGGTTTGCCTTGAAATTGTCGTACCAGTGGCTGAAGAGAGCTGACGAGACAGGTCTGAGGCTGTGCTTCGCCTGTTTCTTTTGGCAGTAACTGCCAAATACCGGTCCTCATTCGGCGTTGTAACACTAGGGCGACCTGTGCTTAACGTCTACTCACATTACCATCATCTTGGAATCGTTGCTAAAGCCTGGAGATGACACTCTGGGCAATTCCAAGTTCGTCTGATACTTCCAGTTCAGTACGCCCACATTCCAGACGGCCAATAATTCTACCACGTAAAAAATCATCCAAATGCGTCCTTTGTGTCATAACTATTCGGTTATTGCACTGAAATGCTTATAAAGCGCCTGCGAACAATTTTACTTCTTTGCCTGTATTCATTAGATATCACTCTCTTACACTCTCGTCATTGTGACGTACCATCTGTGTCATCTAGTTACTTCCTGAAATTTGCATATGATTCTTGAAGATGTGCGTAGTGATTTTACAGGTGATATATTTATTTTAGAGTTCGATTTTCGCGTGACTCCGAATTATCCTTAACTTATGGACATGAGTGTAGTTAACTTCAGAAAATTCCAGGCTGCGAAGAAGTTACTGATGGTGATGTTGAAGAATGGATGGGACAAGATGATAATTGTGAAATTTTAGGACATGCAGAAATAGTTGCACTTCTGAAAGACAATGTGGATAAAAATGAAGATGAAAACGAAAATGAAGAGATTGAAGACAACGGAAAAGCTAAAATGATGACCCATAGTGAAGGACTGAAGGCCGCTGAAGTAAAGCTTTGTTACATGGAGGAGCAAGGTGCATCTGGTATGGACATTTTGTTCCTAAATCGCCTACAGTATGAAGCTGTGCGACGGCAGAGAATGAATGGGAGAGACAATCTACCATCACATGATGTTTTTCCACCAAGAACTACTAATAAATATTTTGGATGTAAGTTTTTTACTCAATTATCTTTATTTGTTCTCTTTATGACTTCTATTATGCTAGAATTTGACATAAAAAAGTCATCATTAATTTCATTGCAAGCTGTACTTTTCCGTGTCCAATACTGTGCAATGTCTAGAGTAATTTACAGTTAACTGTTAAGAGTTTTGAAAACCCCAACCCTTAATCCGTAAAACTAGACTTCTCGAAAACTCGAGTCCAGTCCACATTATGTCGAGTTTACGGGACTCTACTGTATTCACATTCGAGTATAGAAGCAAGTTTTGCATTTATGAGAAAGTGATTTTATTTCAGCTGAGAATGAGTTGTCTTACTTTTGCTTCTCGACAGATTACTCGGCTGCATTACTGGCTGACGATATGAAGTGAATCTTAATAGTAAAATCCTCTGTGGCATGTGCATCTTTTTCATAGAAAATATCCAAATATCATTATTCAAGGATTTTATTTTATTTGCTTTAAGAGAGTGGGACCTATTATCCTAGTTCTTCGTCACAGAAGATGCCAGAAGTTGTTTCATTATGTGGGGGGGGAGGAACAAAAAGTCTGATTTATATTTCTTTTTTAATGAATCTCACTGACTGAAGCCCCTTCAGTTTAAAAGAAAGTCGAATGTAAATATTTTGCATATTCTGTGCAAATATATTTAAAAATTCATTTTAGTTACTCAATACATTTAATGCAATATAGTTTGAATTTTATTGATTCGTCTATTTTCGTAGAGATTTATAACGGTTTCATCAAATATACATTGGGAAAATTTCATTAAGAGACATAATGAGAGAATTACTGTTAAATTATTAGTTCACATACGTGTGAATCACAAAAAATTGTTGTTAATAAATGTATGCTATTTATAGCATTGCTACAGAAAAAACTTTTCAAATATAAATATTCATAAATTTTTCGATGTTGTAAAATTAAAAATACCCTTTTTAATTTAACTTCACTTAACGGAACAAAAATCATTTAGCAAATTTAGAAAAATTAAATTGTGTTAGAAATTATTTAGCTCCACCTAAAGGAACAGAGTAATAAATTAAAGGAACTAGAAACCAATACATAGTTCTTCTATTCTTCATCTTCAATTAAAATTCAGAACTTTTGTGCAGTGTTCCATATTTCGTAAATTTGGAAAACTGAAAAATAGTCCATTCTATATCATGCTAAAATGTAATAAAGCAAAACGAACTAGAAGCCTATTAGAAGAAGTATTAATTGAATAATCTTTAGTTATATTAGCATACATTTAAGATAAAAAATTTATGCTAATAAAATTGAAGACGTAGTAATTAAGAAATCAAAAGGAGTCAAGAAATGTGTATCTAAAAATAGAACTGCGTTTGAAGATTATAAATACTGTTTATACAATAAAATTGATCATATCAGAACCATGAATCTCATTAGAAGTAAGAAACATGGGCTGTATGCTAACCAAGGGAAGAAGTTAGCTTTACGGACGAAAGATGATAAAAGATTTTTAATTTCGTTTCATTCTTATCTTTCATTTCAGAATCTTCAGATTTTTTAGTACATTTTAATATTGATTTGTTTATAATATATTCATTTTATATTTTCGTTTAGCCTGTGATTTTTAAGGCAACAAATGAGTGTGTGATATCTAAAAACTATGCGAAAGTATACATATTTTTAATAAAAACTTGGCACATGATAGAGACTTGTAGATGTTTGGAATAATGGTTTAGTTCGATCATATTAACTCTATATTACGTAATTTAACTATTGCTATTAATTTGTTAAAATTGTATATTAAAATTCATGGTAAATGAATGCACAAAGACAAATTGAAATAGTGAGTACTTACTTCTGTATGAAGCCAGTACTGAAATATGATATTCATCTGATAATGTACGAGATAAATAGAAGGTGGAATGAAGAAGGCCATCGGAACGTATGTCAGCTAAAAATAAATAAAAGTCATAACTATAGTAACACCTTTGCTACATTGAAAGAGAAAAATTGAATTGAGAAATTAAAAATAGTGATACTTCTAACACAGCCTATCGCATTTTAGGGAAACTTAGGAAATAATACTATCACACGTATTATAAAATAATCTACAAAAAAAAAAAAAAAAAAAAAAAAAAAAAAAAAAAAAAAAAACTCAACCTATTAAAAAATAAACTTAAAAACATTTAAAGAAAATTGTCCCTCAGTGGCTTAATATATTACAGAAATGATTAACAAAATTAAATTTAGCATAGTTAGTTGTATTCAGAAGACTTTCCACAAGTTATAAGTCAAACATTCCGTGAAAACTTAACTTCTTTCTGTAGCAGTTCTTTTTTCTCTTCCGGCCCACCAGCGGCCGAGCGGTAAAGTCGCTGAACACTGGTAGTTCGGTCCGAGGTTCGAATCCCGCGAACGCGCTGTCTGCATGGGCGTTTTCGTGGTTTTCCCCATGTGTAAAGTGCATACGAGCCAGGTTCCCTTAGAAAGTCCTCCACGAAAGCATTCCTCTCCTTAGGCAGATAGCCCACGAGGCTTTGCCATAATCACACGTATTTTTCTCTTCCCCCTTTTTATTTATTTTTTATGTTTCTCTGCAAAAACTTTTTATTGTCTCCCTTATAGAGAAAATACTTTTATTTTCGAATAACGAATTAATGAACTTGTTATATTTAGATAGGTGTACTACGTATTATGATGTTAAAAAAAGTTATCCTAAACAGATTTACTGTTTTCAATAATCATAGTAGCTGTATCACATTTCTAGCAGCTCGACCAAATTCTCCATTTATTATTATTCGATTCACCATTATTCTCTTCTAAACTCAATCATATAAATATAGTTCATTGCGTCAATGCGTATAACTGGCTCCATAACCGTACGAATGGCTTAAAATGCAAGCCCTTTTAACTCAATAAGCACATATCAAGTGGGGTAAGAGAAGGACACACAAAACTTTCCAAAAAAGTCTCAGTTATACGTGGGTTATCGAATAGGCATGATTTTTTTCCCAAGCAACGAGTTTTTCCTTTTTTTTTTTTTTTTTTTTTTTTTTGTTTTTTTTTTTTTTTTTTTTTTTTTTTTTTTTTTTTTATTTGTTTTTGTTTTTGTTTAAATCTACCCCATACAGGAGAGTTTGTTATATTTTCGCACCAAACTTGAGATTTAAGCAATCGCTTAGATTTTCACGTAATGGGATTTAAGAATAAACTGAGAGCATTATCTGATCACACTTATAATGTTACTGCTTGATATAACGACCGCTTTTTACAACAACAATTATTGTATTCTATTATAACGACCGTATAAAACGTCCCCATTTGGGTACAAGATATGAAATCCATTTCCTTATGATGTACAAAATATGAAATCCCTTTCCTCTATATAAAAACTGTTTCCTGAAGGATGTGTAGGATCAATATACTGAGAGTCAACCGAAATAATTTTTCAAATGTTCATTTTTGTTCGAATCATCTGAGTATTCAAATAGTTTAAATAACTCCCATGCAAAACTCTTTGGCAATGAAAAACATTATTAACTACTGATAGACATTTTCTTTCCCCTCAGTTACTCTGCTCGGGTTAGTTTACACAAACTCAATTCATTAAAGCTCTTATAATTGCAAACGCAAGGAAAACTTCGCATATATATATATATATATATATTTTATTTTCTCATGAATGTTTTTAATAGTTGAGTCTTCTGGATACTTCTTCTTTCTCCCTCTTTAAGGCCTATATCACACATGCATTTGTTTCACACAAACAACTGTTTCGGACAATTGTTATGCGTGGTTTACTATTGAAAGAAAGATGCGCTTTTTTTTTTCCTTCTTTTCGAAACAAATTGCGAGATGTTCGTTTTCAACCAATCAGCTACGATTGATTGAAAACGAACCTCAGTGTTAGAAATAGATAGCAGTCTTTTAAACCATGATAGTAGTGTTAGAAACCGTGTATTCTGGATTTTTGCACAGTTTATATCCAATTAATTGTGCGCTTTCTACCAAAAAGACGAAGATTGTTTTATTATTATTATGCCTATTTAAAACATTACTTCACAACTTATTTACTTATTTCCTGCATTAATAACAGTGATTTTACAGTGACAAAATGGAATTCTACACTTTTGGTATTTTTCTATACATTAGTACGTTTCAGAAACAGAGAAAACTTCCAATCAATAATTTTCGAAAATAATAGAGGGGTGCTGAAGCTTTTGCTTCCAACGCACAGTGTACAAGCCCAGATCACTGACCATTTTTTGGGGGAGTTATCTAATAGCATTTGATTGCGCGTATTATGATTCCATTCTCCACTGTTAAACACAAAGAAGCAGTAATCAAAAGTTAAGTTGTTGGTTAGTGTTAGAATACCAACTTAATTGTGCTTGAAAACATGCAGGTATCTAAGATAGAAATGCTTTTAAAATCAGATTTTTCTTAAAGTGTATCACTATATTTAAACAAAATCGCTCGGTCTGCTTTTTCTTGTAAATAATTAAATATCATAAAAATTTCATTATAATTTTAATAACGTTATTACTTTAGTTTCAGCTGTAAGGAAACTTACCCATAATGCGGCACTCGTGAATACACTTAGACGTAAAGGTACAGTCAAGTTGAATTCCTCTGAACTGTGATGAGGTTCATGAAATACCCATAGAATACTCACCTCTAAAACAAATAATAAAAATAATGACCATGTTGTGTCCTTAAAAATATTACATACAGTTTTAACATACTATATAAATTACGGCTTGTTGTTAAAAAAGTAAATAAACTTGCAAAACTTCGCAGCATTTCTTTGGACCAAAGACAGGTGAAAATCTAAAAATATACATTCTTAATGTAATAAAAAGTAAACTCGCTGAGGATATCGTTCTCAAATGGCAGTATGAGCATGGAAAAAGAATAACTTCCTTTGGTGTTGCATTACATTCGTTAAAACTACGCACACTAACTAGCCAATGAATTAGAAACCCAAGATCAATATTTCATTGGACCAACTTTTGCAGGGATAACTGCTCTGATACATTTGGGCATCGAGTCTACATGCTTCTGAAATGCATTTACGTATAGAAAATACCATGCATTGGCTATGCAGCTTTTTAGATCTTGTAAATTAGGTGGAAGAGGAGAATGCTGTAGGATGCGTTTTTTCACCATATCCCGCACATTTTCTATGAGGTTAAAATACGGGCTATGCGGTGGCCAGGGAAGGTGTTGGAAGTCAAACTCATGTTCAGCGAACCAGTTTTGAATACTTCTGGCACAATGTATGGTTTCATTATCGTCCATGAAGTATCCGTCGCCATCAGGGTAAAAACCAACATTGCAGAGTGCACTTGATCTGCCAGAATATCTAGGTATCTCATGGCTGTTTGTTTACCCTCGAGGAACACCAGAGCACCACTTCCATGCCAGCGGAACATGTCCCATATCATGATACTCCTACTAGACACTTGCACAATGCGAGTAAGGCAAGATGGATTCATGGCTTCATGAGGTTCTCGCAAATTCGACGTCTTCCATCAGTGCAAAATAAGGTGTAGCGTGTTCGACCACATTGCCCGTTTCCAATCCTCAGATGTCCACTGTTTTCTTTCCCATCATCACTGCAAACGAATTCTTGCATGTCAGGCAGAAAAGAGTGGTTTCCTCACAGGCACCGGACTACGCATTCTTATCCTCTGCAATTCTATGAGCATGCTGCAAGCTGAAATCTAGTGGGAAGAGCCTTGGTTGACGATCTGTGCCAGCTGAAGCAGAGTAGAGTCCTTGTTCTTCCGTACAATTCGTCGGAGACGGCGATGATCACTCTCTTGTCTAGAGAAGGACTGAGGGTTCTGATTCCAACTTTTGAAAACCTTTGATGTGGCTGCTTTTGAGAACCCAGTGAGATTTACTGTCTTCGAAATCGAGGCCCCTGCTAAAGGGTCACCAACAAATGGTGAAAGATCTGCAGTTTTTTCCATTTTACTTCATTCGTCATGAAAAGCACACTTACACCTCACTTACACTAACATTCTACCAGGTGTAACCCACGTCATAAAAAGAATTTGCATACTTCATCTCTAGCATGCTATTCAAATGAAAATCTCAAAGGTTTCTAATTCACTGGCCAGTATGTGTGTATTTGTAGTGGTATAAGCCGCCCTTTACGAAGAGGTTGCCGGCGAAACCTGAAAAAATGGCCTGCAGCAATAAGCATAAACTGGTACTGTGGAGGAAAGTTTCACAACCTTAAGACATTTTAGAGAATTCTAATTATACACTCTTAGACAGACAAAAAAAAAAAAAAAAAAAAAAAAAACGCACTGAGAAGATATAAAGAAAATTGGACATAAGTTGATATGGGTGAACCATTGCCGCACACAGCGTCAAGAAGGAAGAGGTAGGCGTAGAGAAACGACAGAACGTGAAGAACGTCAGAGCGGTACTCACAGTCCCAAATGCATCATTATCATCGATTGTACGTGCAACTAGTGCTTCAGTGACCGCAAGGACCATTCATAGACGGATCACAGAAAGGGGGCTGAGGTCACGGCGCTCCTTGTGTCGACTACCATTGTGCTCTATACACTGAAATGTCACTGACTGGAGTAGAATAGTCTTCAGTGATGAGTTCCGCTTTGAGTTGAGTCCCGATGACCAGCGAAAGTGAGTCTGGAGACGCCCCGGACAGCGGTGTGATACCACCCTGACTGTATTCCGGCAGACAGGCCGACAACCAGGAGTGATGGTCTGGGGTGCCATTTCATTTACTGCTTGCCGAACGTTACCTTGGCCAGATGTTCAAATTACTATATCTTTTGAATATCTAATATAATCTATATACTGAATATCTAAGGCCCGTTGTGTTGCCCTTCATGTCGCGCCACTCTGAGCTTACATTTCAGCAAGACAATGCCCGCCCCCACAATGCACATGTTTCTACTGCTTGTGAAACATTACCTTGGCCAGCAAGGTCGTCAGATCTCTCTCCTATTGAGCACGTTTGGAGCATTGTGGACAGGGCCCTCCAACCAGCTCGGGATGTTGACGATCTAACACGCCAGTTCGATAGAATTTGGCACAATATTCTACAGGAGAGTATCTGCAACCTCTATCAATTGATGTCAATACGAATAACTGCTTGCATAAGGGTCAGAAGTGGACAAATGCGTTACTGACTTTTTCACTTTATGAATCTCGATCGCTTCAATAAATCATCCAATTTTTCTCAAACTGTAAACATTTGTTTCTCTGTACATGTACATCACTTCTACCGATTTTCGTCCTATTCGGATAACTCCTTCTTGGTGCGTCGTTTTTTTCGTCTAGGAGTGTATTTATTAACAACTTAAAAGTACTGACACATAAGATAAAACATCAGTGAAATATAATACAGATAATTACAAGTTACTAAGGTGAAAATGAAAATTAAAATTATTGCAGATGGAAATTAAAATTATTGCTGATATTAAAAACATCGCAAATTTACACTAGGTATGATTAAATTGATAAACAGATTTGCAAATTAATAATTAGAAAAAATCTGAAAGACCGCCCAGAAGTCTATGTTAAGGTTTCTTACGCTCTCGCTAATTTCGCAGTTTGCCAGTCTGCTGTTCACTCACTCCTGCCGACCACGTTTTTAGCCTAAAAGGAGCTATTAGTCTCGAAATGGCATTTTAGGTCCGTTCACTGTAAAAGAGGTATGACTTGTCGAACTGTTGCTACCAAATATTATCGCCCTGTATCATTGTTAGAGAAATTAAACAATGACGAAACTACATATATGTATGTTTCTTGCAATAAGGAAAGAACAATACCTAGAGTCATCAAATTTTAAATAACGTATCTTATATTTCGAATTTGGTTTATTATCTATTTCATATTTTTTAAACTTTAACAAATTTTTATTAGAAAATTCATTTGTTTAGAAGCAAGCAGTGGTAACACTGTACAGAATAAAACATTTTTATCTCAGGCGCGAGAGACTGTCTATCAGAATTTCTAAAGATATGCTGTTTTAAAATATTTTGTGATTTTGCTATGGAAATGAATTTTATATGGCGTTAGTACGAAGGACATAATATTTAATAAATAAAGTTAACACCCAAAACATTAATACTAAAAAGACAAAAAAAGTTTTGTAAGCCACCTTGTTAAGAAAACTGAGCACTGATATGATGAGCACAGAAATGAAAACAGGAAAAACGTGTGTTCAAAAAAAAAAAAAAAAAAAAAAAGTTTGCTAACAAAAAAAGAAAAACGTGGCTTAGCAGGATTGAGGGCAAGTTCTATTTAAATTTATATTTATTATATCTTTCGTGTACATATGTTATTACTTACTGGCATTGGGTGATTAGCATTTACATTATGAATTATGCACCAACTTAGAGCTTTCGTTTTCCCTTCTCTCATTTTTAGAATTCTAAATTCGATTTTTAAAAAATATTAATATTTAATTACTATTTAAGATAATCTATCTAAATTACTGGCAGTCTTTAATTCGTAAATTTCAGTTTAATTCGATTAGGAGTAGGATCTCGCTTTCAGGCACCCTGAGTGTTTGACACCGTTAAACTTCACTCACTGAGAGCTTAAAAAACTTTGACAAACCTTTTTGGATGACAGTTAAAATCTGAACACTTTCAGATCTTTTCTTTTGTGTGTGTGTGTGTGTCTTTTTAGCTTTATTTTTAAGCATGATTTTCCTTGCACTTACGTCATGTACATTTCAACAACAAAATCACAAAAATTGTAAAGTACCATAGCATATTTAGAATTCTCGATGCAGTTTTAAGTGCCGGAATGCATTTTTCTATTTTTTACTGTCTTTCCTCAGTTTATCATATCAATGTTCAGTTTTCTTAATACGATGCCTCACGAAATTTGTTTCTATCTTTTTATTAAAAACGTTAAATTTTTAAATTACTTTATTTATTAAATATCACGTTTTTCGCACTTTCACCACATAAAATTCAATTCAACAGCAAAACCACAAAATATTTCAAAACAGCATATCTTTAGAATTTCCGATGGACAGTCTCACGCGCTGGAGATAAAAAAGTTTTATTTCATATACTGCTTACTTTCAGATCGTTGAGTTTATTAATAATAAATGCATTAAAGTTTTATCAAACATTAAATTATATATTTGTATATACACATATATATAACGACATTCTATGCAAATAGTGAACGTTTTTTATTCCATAGCTTATAAATTAAATGCATGTTTATTACTTAAATCAACCCGATTCAAAAGTAAGAAACGATTATTGCTAAGAACTGTAAATAGCTTGCCTTCAAAATTTTTTATTAGCAAATTCATTTGTTTGGAAGGAAGCAGTGGTAACACTGTACAAAATAAAACATTTTTATCTCAGGCACGAGAGACTGTCTATCCGAAATTCTAAAAATATGCTGTTTTAAAATATTTTGTGATTTTGCTATGGAAATGAATTTTCCATAGCAAACTAAGCTATTTAGCTTAGTTTGTTATCTACAGCAGACAGACTCAGTCTTAAAGATAAATAACATACACTTTTCCGAATGGCAAAATGAAAAATGAAATGACGCATTTATAGAAATTCGATGCAAAATCCCATTTCGAGACTAATAGCCCTACTTGGAACAAAATACACTAGAATTACAATGATAATGAACATTTCTAATACGGAAATTCCTGATTCATTAAAACACTTACGATGAGTAGCTCTATGCATCCAATAGAAACAAAAATCAGTCACTATCATGCATAAAATCCAAGTCCAAACGGAATCCCAAGGCAAAGCATAGATTCTCCAGTTATTATATATATAAGTATACATGATTAACTCAGTTCCGAAAAGTGGAATCCTAGAATAAAATATATTGAATATTTATTCACGCCAAATTGAAAACTTTATTTTACATTACAAATATTTCGTTTCGCTTAATTTCGAGACAAAACTTTAAGACACAGAAAGGTAGTTGAAGAGTTTGAAACAAATAATGAAGTACAAACCAAAATAATTCTAACATTTTTAATGAAATCATCTATCTATAAAAGCAGTTATATTTAAATAGCATTAGACTGTAAGTATAAAAATATCGTTTTAAGTACTGACAGGAAATCTGAAAAGTAATGTTTATTGACTCAAAAAACCATGAATCCTATCATTAATGTTTTCTTTAAAGAATATTTCAATTATTTTAATTTCCTAATACTACTAATACCATTATAATGATCATTTTAAACAATTGTAGCTGTACAATATATTTAGTGCAATATATAAGATGTTCTTTCAGAAAATCTTATAGATCCATATTTCAGATTAATTCTTTAAAAAGCTTCTAAATATATTAATTCATCACATCAAAGCAAGAAAAGAATGTTTATGAAATTATTTTTATTTGATGAACTAAATAAAATGAAATAGCTAAAGCACATGGCGTTATATTTACTTCGAAATAAATACCACCAGATAAGTTTGATTTCATTTCTGTTCATTATTTTTTAATATTAGTGTGCGTGTTAGACTTGGATGTATTGCATTGTTATTGCTGGGGCTAATTTTACTTGTTGAACCTAATCAGCAGCCCAAGGACAAGAAGCGTCGTGGTAAGATTGCGTTTGTCGTTGACATGAGTCTTGAGCACCAAATAGGTAACACTACGACTTTACCCAAATACGCCTCAATTTTAAAGGAAAGCAAGCCGACCAAGGGTCTCCTACTCCTCTTCCCCTACCTCTCGAGAGGGCTTTCGGTTCGCCGTATATTTTGAGGACCCTTAACTGCACAGATACTACACATTGCCTTCACCGGCAATCAAAACCTCGCCTTTTGACCAGCGCCACTAAACACTATAGCAATTAGGCAGCGAGATGTATGCGCAAAATTTTTGGGAATCGGAATCTTAAGTGATCAGTCAAAATAAAACTGAACCGAAACTGTTGTATTCTGAGCCCAGTTTTCAACTTGAACACATCGCCTACTCTCTCCGCTTTTGTTCTGCCAACTTGCTTGCTCTCCGCTGCTGTAATTTCTTTATTCCACCGAAATTAATTGCAATGAAAATAGAGAAAAGGGACGAGAATGATCGAAAACGGCCGTCAAATTGCACTGGATAATTCGAGTTGAGATAGGAATTAAAATGAATACTAAATTGGCCACCGCAAACCACTGCATCGGCTGCCATTGCCATTGTTAAAAATGTTTGCTAATCTTCTCTGTTAAAGATTAACAAAAAATTTTCTTGTTTTAATTTTAATTGTATTTTTTCCCAACTTTTCTAGTTTTAATGTATATTTTGTTTGGTATGTTTCTTTAATTTGTGTTTCACTAATTTACTTGTTTCACGAATATAATAGGTCGACCTTCAAATATTTTAGGGGCATTTTTTTTTTTTTTTTTTTTTTTTTTTTTTTTTTTTTTTTTTTCCGTTTCAAGTTTTGCGTTCTTGAATAATTAAATTTAAATTTAGTTTCTTCACAATGCGCAAATTCTGTCTAAATTTTTTTCATTTTCTAAATGCGTTTTAAGTCCTTTATTTATATATATACACATACACATTTGCGTGCTTGTACATGATAACATGTTTACACTCCCAGTGGAACGGTGCTTGAGCTCCAGGGTGCCTAGATACGAGGCCTTACACCTTGTAGAAACGGTTGAAAGTTTCGAATTAATTCGTGAAATAACTCAAAGAAATTCCTCTAAAGTCCAAGTACACAAACACAAAACCAATCCAACCTTCGAAAATTAGTCCGAGTCTTCGTTATTTTAAGGAGCATCGTTAACAACATGTCTTTGCAGAATCATACTAGTTGAAAGTAAAGTTACTAGAGCAAAGTAAGCACAGAAACAGTAGAGCTGATAGCAGTAACGTACAAACTTTAGTGCAGTAACGTACAAACAATTGGTGTCAATAAAAATAATGTAAAACAAAGGTACAAATACAATACAAAAGAATACTTCAAATAAAAGTCATATACTAAAAATTCTATGAAATCTGCTGAATTAATTATTAGAATTAAACATTTGAACATTTTTACTAATTTCCTTAAGAATATTAAATACATCTTTGACAGCATTACACATGTCATCAAGACGTGGCGTTCCAGGTTGAATTCAATTTTCAGTACGAGCGTTCCTAAGAACGCGTGTTTTATTTTTAATATCATCGCATAAGAGATTCCAGTGGTGTGCATGTTTACATTTGAACTGATAACACTAAAAGAATTATCCTTTGTCCTAGGGTCAATGTCAGTTATAAGGCATTTAGGGAATTTAACACATCCCCAAAAGTTTGCAGTGTACACAATTGAAACACCTAACCACTTCTAAATTTTTCGCTGTATAATTTTCAGTTTTGTGTTATCTAGCACATTTCACACATTTAACTTTAATTTGCACTCTGCAGAAAATCGGTTAAAGTATTGGCAATTGTGGCACTGAACCACATTACCTTTAATTTTGTATAGAACAGATATATTGAAATATAAAATTTTGTTGATTTCGTAAACACGTTCAGTACCAGGAGTATGCTTTAATTGCACTTCTTATAACGGTATAGGTTTTTGTTTTATTTTTTGTTAATCTAAACATCTGCGCCACTTTCTTTGCCGTTAAACCTAAGTTTGTAAGTTCCTCCTCGATTTCATTAACAGGCATATCTGTGGTCAGCCTCCTAAATAACACCTTAAGGGGACATTCAGATTTTTGTCTGCTAAAATAAAAATCAACATTGCTATTAACTAGGTAGTTAAAAATAATTCTATAGTACTTTTATTAAGGAAAATTTTCAACATGTCACCATTAACACATCTCGAAAAATTTGTCTTAGTATCGCGTTTAAAGGTTTCCAGAAAGTCTGAAAATTTGATGATAGGCGAATCAAGCATGCATCAGCTCTGCATATGAAACATGTTTATTTCGTTCTGCTTACAATATCAGTAGCTGTTAATCAAAGATTTAATAATTTTGTCTCGAGATTTTTGACTACATTTCTTCCAACGTAAAGATAGTGCCAGCTGCATTGTAACAGAAAAATTCTACATCATTACGTTTATAGAGAAGAACGCAAAAAATATTTGATCACTGTAAGAAAAACGTAACTAGAATTTTGATAAGAAGTGCATTTTCCAGCCATAAGTCAGAAAAGTATCAAAACTGTTATCTTCATACTTAAATAATTCAACTAATATCCCTTGGCTTATGTTAGTTACAGAATCATTCAAACGCATAATCTTCTTTCCTTGGACAAGACGAATGAATTGTTCCAGAATGATGACAAATATAAATGCTGGAGTTACCTGCAAATAACAAAATATGTCTGTTAGTTAAATCTCAAATAATAAGTCCACCATTTTATTCGCATATGACTTATAGCTATTGCTTTCTATATAAACACAAATAATAAATAAATTCATTATTACCAGAATAGTACTTATAATCATTAATTTAAATAACGATTTATGTTTGTTAACTAATGCAAACCATATAATCAATGAAGTCAGATATATTACACTGTACTGCAAAAGAACTAAAACGGTAAATAAAATTCTTTAAAATTACATGTAAAGCCGATGGCATAAAATAATTTTAAATAAGTTGCATTTTTAGGATTTACTCGAATATTTGACAAATCTAAGAGTTGTGTCCAGTCTACAAGTAATGCAGACATTAAAAAAAAATTCTGAACAATAGTTGCAATCATCTTTATAGAGTCATAAAAAACAGATAACAGCCTGAAGCAATTGAAACATGCTATCCATCTCGTTTTCATTTTAATTTTAAAGTGTTAGAGGAAAGAAAAATTTATTAGACTTTTTATACAGAATACTGCACTGCACTGAAGGGCAAAAAATTATTCTCTAAATAACTAAAATTTGAACAGTAAACGTTAAACAGCGTAATACCACTACGTTCAACAGGAATGCGATTTGAGACTCAAATTTAAGTGAGAGGAATTTTCATGTTTCAAAATAAATTAGTAACCTTTTTTATCACCTATGATAAAGTTTTCATAAATAAAACATTTCCATTTATTCAAGAATTTGGACAGTATAAAAGCCCTTAAAAATCCGATTTTATGTAAAATAAACTTCCGTATCTGTTATTAGTAGTTTTCAAATAAAATTTACTTTATTACTTAGATCTGAGTTCTTATTTTTCTGAAATTAACTAGTACAAGTTAGGGTAAGGCGAAACTTGGCACGAGTTTACGCTTGTTAACAGAGAGTACCTAGTTAGTTTAAGTTTTACCTATTAACTAATTTGATTTAACTAGCTTACTCCTGGTGATCATGAAAATCATACGTGTTCTCTGGCAGTAATTTTCTCGATTTTTTTTTTAATTTAGTTAATCTTGTTTCAGATGTAATGCAATAGGATCTAAATTAACAAACTCTTTTACAAAATCTAAGTTCTGTTAAAATCTTGTTTATAATTATAAAATTTCTGAAAAAGCAGGATACATAAGGATTTTTATTATTTAAATGCCAAATGTAAGCATATCATGGAAATATATTTGAAAGGTTTTAGAAAAAGTACGTGATTTTTGAATCTTTAAAAACAGAATATTTCATTTCTAAACGCAACCTGTCCAAAGCTATAGTAATGATACTTGCGATGGAAAATCAACGAATCTCATATCACTTAAAATGAAACGCTTCACATCACAAAACTGATCACAGAATGGCTTGATGAACATGAAAGCGAATTTCGATGTTTCCCATATCCTGTCCAATTCCCTGATCTTAACAGCACTGGGCTTATTTGGGGTATGCTAAAAGATAATTATTACCTTTTAGCGTCATACCCCAAATAAGTATATAAAAGTAATATCTTACCTTTTATGCTAAAATAGGTGATAATTACCTTTTAGCATATCCCAGATCGTTATTATATATAATAACTGGAAAATATTTCTGCCTCGTTGTCATGAAATAGTCTGTCATGCCTCGTGCTCGTTCAAAACACGAGGTGGGTTCTTCTCGTGAACTTACCATAATGGGAAAATAACACTTGTCCGCTTTGACATTTTTTTCACTAATTTATTACACATACTGCACTATTGTCTACGGCAAGAACAGCTCTCGCCAGTTTGTCTGCGGCTGTCTGTTGCCGTAGAAACGAGCCGTGACCCAATTTTCGTAGGGGTGTCTTGAAGATTTACTTCTCAGCTTGCCACCTTGACATATTTAAAGATGATTTGGCGATATTCACATTTTGTTTTAGTTTCAAGTAAAATGCTCGTTGACCCTTTGCGTCGACCCCGACATTCAATTTCCGAAGATGAAAATTGATGGCGTAAATAAGTTTTGCAGTCAAGGAACGGTCTTGG